TAAAGCTGTGAGAATATGACGAGGTAAACTCATACAATATTGTATGTTCATTCCTATTTTTTCACCTGCTTCACCCATCGACATTAACCATTGATGTCCAAGATCAATATCAGTACGTGTTGGTAAAAAGTCAATTGTTTGACGATCAAGCCAATCCTGTTCATAGAGAACAAGACCCCAGTCATGTGCTTGACTAAATAAATCAATCCAAAATGAGTCATTTCCGATTGGTAATGCCTTTTTATTGCTTTCATCGAGAACAAAAGAATAATTTTGTTTATAAACAGTATCAAATGCCCAATAACGGTTATGTGCTGCTAGAGGAATATTTTCTAGTCGACGATGCACGGTTTGAAGGCCATCAGGAAAAATATCTGGACGAGCGGTCCACTGTGAAACACCATCTCCAATACCTTTATAATACCACCATGAATCAAGTTGTATATAATGAAATGGAAGTGAAATTTGATGACGAACATTGACCACAGTTTCTTCATAATTTATTCCTTTTTCTGTATTATAATAATAGTAAGCACCGTTATCCGTATAATAACCAAGATAATTTATCGTAAGATCATTGAGACGATGTTGATTAGTTCGAGTATATTCTCTTTGCATTAGTTGACCCCATTCTTTTATTCCTTCATTAATACCCTGTGATGAATAAAAAACAATCATTGAGTGATTATAATTAGCTGGTATTGATAACATTGAACCCATCACACCGTATTCTAATGTGTTACTATTTGTTTGACTTAATGAAGTTGCCATAAATCGAGAAAAAGGTGAAAGAACTAATATATCACTTTCTCCGTGTTGAGATAAATTAAAAAGAACTATTGGACCACCTTGTATTCCTGATTGAATGACTTTACTTGACGGATTCCACCAACCTGCATGTTTATTATCATCACCTGCCATTTCTCCTGAAGAAAAAAAGGAAGAAACTGAAATGAAAATCTTTTGAAAATCATAGTCTTACCTTCGAATGTAAAATAACCTCGTTGATCATTCTTATCAATTTGTTCAATATAAAACGATGGAAAAACTGTGCGAACATGATTCATGTCAAGAGGAACTGTGTTTGTCATAGTTAGATTACCAGTGTCCAAATCAAATGAAATTCCTGAACCGGAATACCAGTCACGTATATGGCCAATGATTTGTGTATGTATTCCACTACGAACAAGGTCATAGCTCAATTGGAAATCTCTGTAATCACCTAGATTTGGATCAAAGCCACTTGTATAACTTATACCAGTTAATGGCAGAGAATTATCATCTGATGAATACCATTTATTGTCTACATATATAGCTGTACGAGATGAACGAAGCCAAACACGATTACCAATAGTAATATTGTATCCTCCTTTCTGATCAATTAATACTTCTATATTACCCCAACCCCAACATCCAACTACAAGAAGAAGTAATTCTAAAAGATGCATCTTCACGAACTATTCTGACCAAAGTGAAAGATAAAAGTATACTGTTTATTTGTTTATACAGATAGCGACAAGGAGATATCTCTGCGTTCGTATCTGAGATTTAAATAGCAATTATCATATAAACAACAGTTCTACAAATCTTTCTTTTTTTATACCCAAGTGTGGGTGTAGGTGTTGATGCACGTTGAGAAAAAATGCTGACACTCACACCTATACCCTATCTCCGGCAAGAAATAAAAACTCGTAACGCAGTACTGCCAATTTCTTGAATATAAGAAAGTTGTGAAGACAGTTCAGTATAAATAATAAATCACGCAGTTTTTTATGTGTATCCTGACTTCGATCAGTTGATTAATTGACATTTAACTTTTCGGAGTTATATAGATAACGGAAATAGTTGATTGCTCTAAAACGCTGAAAAACTCTTTAGGAGAATATTGATTCAGAATAAATAGTAGTAAAAAGTTCTCCTTTCTTTATTATATATCTCTTTTTTTTGTAACTCCACATTCGTGCTTCGTACTGCTTGTTCTGTTCTTTACTTTCATTCTCTTTTATACACCTTTATTCTTAAAGAAAGAAACTATATGGGTATGTCATAATATAGAGGAGAAGGCAAATATCAGTTGTTGCTGTTGTTCTTCTTCTTGTTTTTCTCGCAGAAAACAATCGAATGAAAAAGAATAAAGTGCTATAAACAGTATCATCCTTTCATCGATCCATAAATATTACTAGGATCATGATATTGTTACCCTTTCTATGGTAGTAAACGTCGTTTATAGAATGTAGATAGTATAATCTTGGTGTATTTAGGATGCAAGAGTGAGTCATTCAATTCTCCTATAGCAGTACCATAAGAGTCACTGAAAAAACTCCTTTCATATTGATAATTAAATAGTTTTGACATTCAGTTTGCTTTTTTTAAGATAAACAATGGATTGTAATGAGAAACCTGCTGATATCTTGGAATGGAAGAAAATAGCTGCAGCCCAACAAAAAATATCTATTTAATGTTCGGTGGTCGAACACGGGATTCGTACAAACCAGATGAATACGATATTCTTGCTATAAAAATAGAGGTGTTGGTGTGTGGTGGTGGGTGTGGATATCGGTGTGGGTGTAGGCGTGGATGTGGTGGGATGGGTGCGGATGGAGAGAAAGTCTACACCCACACCCACACCCACGCCCACACCCACCCACCCACACCCCACACCCCACACCCGTACCCGCACCCCACACCCACCCACACCCTCAAGATCCACATGATCGTCATCAACTCACATTGGATCCCGTCTCAATACAAATTCAAGAAGATCCCAACATCGTAACTGTTAACTGTCAAAAATCTTCAGCAAGTCGTCGCAAGCGGTCATTATTAGCTAGGAAACGACGTAATCATAAATCTAGCATTCGTCATAGGAAAAATCGTTACAACTATGAAATTACAAGATCATGCAATACAACTATTTAAATCGGCAAGAAAACATTAAAACAATTTGATCTCAAATATCTTAACATCAATATTGTTAAATCTACACTATACATTGGCCTCAAATCTAGTCAATTACAAGATCAATATGAACAAGTACTACCATCAGATATTTTTCTATGACACAAGGTTTTTTCTCTAATTGTTTTTTCTTTCCTTGTTCTTTTGTCTATGTTATCTACAGTACTCAGTTATATGTTAAGTAACATTGTTAACTTCTAACTTTCTTGTTATTATTTTTTTGTTATTTGTTTTTCTTTTTCTCTCTCTTCGTTCGTTCTTTTGTAAGGGGGAGGTGTCACGATCGCCATCGATTATAGATGGACGATCCTCCTTCTTCTTTTTTTTCTCTCTCTCGAGATTCGATTAACTACTGGCTCGGATATAAACTTTTTTGGAATAAAAAAGAGGAACCTAACACAACGTACAAAATTCATACATGAAGAAGAAAGCATCGGTGAGAGAATCGATCAAGAAAGATTTTAGAAAATGAATTCCATTTTGAGTTACATTATGCATTTCTTCGTAAACATATTCCTATTTCAGATGAAATTATACTGCCTAATGAAAACATGGTTTCTTTCAGAATCACTATGATATAATCTGTGACATAGAAAAGGGTTTGTTTTTTCATGTGAATCACTTGTTTTTTTGACATTGCTATGATAAATACAATCATATGAAAATATAAGAATGACTAACGTAGACAAATCCTTGATCATTCATCAATATTAATAAAATGTTTATTCATTTAGAAAGAAAAGCAAACCTTGGCGTACTCTCTCACAAAAAGAAAGAGGGCCAACATCAATGAAATTTTAGTCATTATGACAAAAATTTTCTTTCTTCTTCCTACAACTTTTTTGTTTTTTTTGAAAGAAAAATACTAAATCAGTAGGACGCTATTTCAACAGTGTGCCATAATTACTTGCCGATTCTTACTATTACTTTTTTCAGAGAGATACCACCCTCTAAACTTTAATTACTTCTGAATGAAATATTAAAATAAAACAAGAATGAAAATTCTTTTCTTTTTAATATTTATTCCATAATGATTTTCTCTTTTGAACAAAAACATTTTCACTGATTTGAAAACTTAAAAGAATTTATTTTTTTTTAATGTTTATGCGTTAATGAAAGAGTAGATTGTGAAAAAATTCAATCTTATTGTTGAATGTTTGAAATTGGATTTTCTAATGGTTGCATGAATGTTCACACATCATGCGGTTTCATCTTTGAATTTCATTTTTCTGTTTCTTGTAAAGAAAAAATGAATGACAACAACAATTATCATACCTAAGTATTCTTTTTTCTGATTTATCGCACCTCAATGCTATTCATCAACAAATACTCACACAAAATAATGAATTGTAAATATTGCTACCTAAAGGACATTTTATTCTTTTCGAACAATTAATGAAACCAAAAATAGAGCATCGAAAATTCACGTACGACTACATTTATTGTTACATAATAAATACTTTATGTTTGTTTGTGAAAAATGTTTATATTTCACTACGACTTTAAAGTGTATAGAATATCAAAGAAATCATACTTTTTGTAGTCTAAAACGCGCCTTTGAATATCACACTATATTTCTTTTTACTTCTCGAGTTAGAATGTAGTTTTCAAACACTTCCTTATTATTTTTCTATTAAATTTGATAGTTTTGGAAGTAATCTACGAATATATAATTTACATATAAACGAATCTTCTCTTGTGGTCGACTCTATAATAATTTTATGTGCATTGGAAAAGAATGTTGGTCTGACAGGTTAATGTTGCTGTCAATCCACACGTTCTCATCATTGCAACACGTGCTTGATCAGGATTAATTATATTTCTCTTGGTAAACTGTAATAAGCAACACTTCTTGTTGATGTGTCAGGTATGGCATATGTTTTGCCGTGACACATTTCTTATTCACATTTTCTGTTTCGCATTCGTTATATGTAAAGACAGAACAGATTTCGTGTGCTAGACATCGACGAGAATAGTTGCCTGTAAAAACGTACGAAGAAACACGTTAATAATTTAATTACTACACTACAAGAAACAAAAAAATGAGCTACGCAGCAGTTTATGCTCTTGCTATACTTGCTGATAATACCAGTCCTGATGTTACAACAATGTCAAAAATTCTTGGAAGCGTCGGTATCGTTTGTGATAATACAAAAGCACAAAAAGTGATCGATACGTGTAAAGGAAAAAATATTGATCGAATTTTTGAAGAAAGTATCAAGGAATATCAACTTTATCAGCTGGTGGTGCAGCTGTTGGTTCCACTGTTAGTGCTGGTAAAGTTCCTGCTGAAGAAGAAGAAGACATGGGTTATGATTTATTCGATTAAATCAGTTAATTAAACAGACAAATAACACAATGCCATCATCATCATTCGTATTGGTTACGATGGATTTTTCTCTTTGTGTGTGTCTTTTCTATTACTACTAATAAAGAAAAAACCAGAAAACAATCCACCTTTAACATTAATAAATATAACAACTTTTTCTTTTGTTATTTTTGAAAAAAACACTCTGATCAAATAGATGTTGCGATGACGAAAACATGCGAGATGATGGTACCATCGACCTGCCAGAGTGACATTGTACGGAAAAAGAAATGTGAACAATATAGTTAGGATCCTATCATTGTGCTATTATTCGGATTCAGATAGATTCAGAGTATATTACAAAATGCTTTCTTTTGAAAGATATATCTAAAAATATCGGAACCAACTACTTCTCGATAGTAATGTCGTATTTTGATAGACACGAAGGAAATTCTTATTTCGCTCGTTGTTTTGTTGTTAGAAATGGATTGAACTCAAGATAATTGTCAGATTGTATACTACAGTTAGCTGACTGTGCTGAGTCTGTTTTCAAAAGAAAAAATAATTTCAAAAAAACCTCCAGGACAAGAGAATATGCGAACAGAAAACGTCTGGAATACAGACGATAGCTATTGAATTATCGATGGTATCGATCATAGTCGTTCTTGGGTGCGGGTGATGAGAATATATCCATACCAACATTCACAAACAACATCCCACACCAACATCCACCAACAACATCCACCAACAACATCCCACACCCACACCAACACCCACACCAACACCAACATAACCACCTCCACCCCCTCACCCACATCCTACACACACCCACACCCCACCCACACCCCACACCCCACACCTACACCCTCAAATTTTCCTTTTTCAATCAGTTAAGAATGATTACGTCTGATGGATATCAAGAGTTAGGTATAATACTCTTGAGAAGCGAGCTATTTAGTTTGAAAACGTCGTACGGACCCGAAATGTTTACTGCATGATGGTATTTGTCATGCTTGAAAAGCTTTCTTATACATTAAACAAGATATTAACTTATATTGTATATACAGTTTCGCAAGAAATTGTATATTTAAGATATCGCTTTCTTCAAAGTTATAGTAAAAATAAACTTATTGAAAAAGAGCCAGCTTTGATGTTCAAAAGATGATGAACTTAGAAGAGAAGATTCAGAAAACAAAAATAGCTGAGTTTGACGTAATCTATCAAAACGAAGTAGTAAAAATTTGAGTGTGATCGGATCAGAGTCAGAGTACTTCGTGATATGTGATGAGAAAAAGTGTTAGTAGTTTTAACTATTTGCCTCTACATAAAAAACACTGCAAAAAGTGATTGTTGTCGGTAATAATGATAGTGTTATAGGTGATATTATATTTTAAATGAAATACGGTTCTCTGGAAGACTAAGATTCGAAATAATCTTCATATTACGACAGAGATGCCAAAGCAACCCTTAAATATGGATTCAAAACATGTCAGTTTTGCTTTTTTGGTTTTCAAATCTGAGAATGGTTCTGTAAGAAAGAATTCCGAAGACCTAAAAAACGTCCAATTTCAGAGAAAAACTCGACAATTAACAAATGAATGGCTCAGTTACAAAATGAAAATAATTAATAAAAAATTTGCTAAAATCATTCCTGAGATTTTTTTTCTCTCAGCCTTATTCACATTATGTTTTCCTGCTTTAGGCGAAGTTTGTTTAATTCGTGTTTTACACTTTTTCACTAGCAGTTTTTTTGTTTAGAAATTCTTTATTCTATATATACACTAAATCTTTTTTGATTAATTCAGATATACATTTGCTTTCTCAATGCAAAGTTTAATCTTAGCTAACACTTTAGTGTTGCCTGCTGATATATTTCTGTTAAAAAATGATAGTTTTTATTCTTATGTAACGGAAGCTATAGGTGATATTCCTGCATCCTACTTGAAATTTTTAAGTATTAATTCTGTAGATTGCTTGTTACGTATTGATGATATATTTTCATTTATTTCGATTGATTCTCCAGAATTCAATGATTTGAGAAGCAAACTAGCATTTCACTTGAACAATGGAACTTTCGTCGTCAGACCTGGATTTAAACACATTTTAAATAGTTTTATTCAAATTTTTCGTGACAAACAGAAAAACGATAGTAGTAGAAATAATGATGAAAAACAAAAAGAAGAAATATTTAAAATAGTTCAAAAGCATTCACTGCTTCGTTCATTAATTTCTTTCTATCAAGTTAATAATACTAATGATTTTAGTACATCATTTTTATGTTGTCTTATTGAAAATACAATCGATAATCTTATGAGATCCAAGAATCATTATCATTATGCAAGACCAGTCATTGATTTTTCCATCTCACTCTACATTTTGGGAGGACGAACCACATATGAATTCGTACGAAGTAATCTTATATGTGCTCTACCAAGTATAACAACAATAAATCAGTTGATATCTACCGAATTGCCATCTTTCAAAGAATCAGAATTTCGATTTGAATCACTAAGTGAAACTTTTAATTCCCGTCAAATTACTCACGTTTTTGGATCCGAAGATTGTACAGGCGTCGTCAAGGCAATCAAATATGATGTTCAAACAGATTCATTCATTGGTTTTGTTAGCCCACTTCAAGAAGGAGTACCTCGTAAAACCTATTTCCAAACTGATTCCTTCGCAAACTTGAAAGAGTGATTCAACGACACCAAGAAAGCAAACCTGCTCAATGTACACATGATCCAACCAATCACTCAAAATATTCAATTCGGTTCAGCTGAGATTTTGGCGGCGTATGGTGTAGCCGATTCGTATACTTCAACTGACATTATGAAACGTTGGTTATATATATATCATAAATTTAAGCAACAAAATATTAGAATAATTGGATTCAGTACAGGTATGTTTTGAAACGAAGCCCTATTTACAGGTGCAGACGTGTCTATTCGAGAGGTCTTCGAGGAGCTTTCTTAGGTACTATCGCGGTTTTCCATGAATCTTTTGCCTATGCATACTAGATGATGCCCTAAGAAAAGCTCTATAGAAATTTATATGTACTTTGAAATTTAGTTAAGCTGTGGAATGCTTAATATGCCAATTTTCTAGAGGTACTCTCAAAATTTCCGATATTGGGGGAAATGGAATCTGTGATATTCAACTTAAGACTTTGAATATTTAGAGGCCTTAAATATACTAGCTATCGTGGAAAATTCAGAGCTGTTGAGCAAACTGCATTCAAGATAAATAGATTTCAAAAAGTTTCCGATTCTATGTACGACCGATGGAAAAGTGTCAATATTTTGAAACTTTCATAGCTCGCAAAGAGTATGATCGAAATTTCAGAACGTTTTTTAATGAAAACCAATATAGTTAAAGTGAATAAATGCGCAGAGTTTTCAATCAAAGTTCGAAGACCTGGTTTTTCCTCAAACCTAAAATTTTTCAGGATCGTTGAGAAAATAGACATATTGAAAACTTGGAAACTTAGTCATATCCCAATATACATCCAAATGCTTTTAGGACTTTACTAGGGCATCATGTAGTACTTATGGATAAGACTCATTGAAATCAGAGCAACTACGCAGCTGAAGATGTCCCTTCATCGTTTTTTTTCGAACACTACTACTACAAAATCAATGGAAAAGGTCTCCTGGCGAGATTCAATATGTAATTTCTTTTCTGTGGAACCATTTAATCAATTCTATGTGAACTATGTTGAAAAGAAAGAAACTTTTGAAAAAAATGCAAATCGAAGTGTTGTGGTTTCTCATTTCTAATTTAAAAATATACACAATTAAATCCGTCTGTCTTCAGTTGATTGCAAAATTTTTGAAGATGATTCAAAATATCTTTTCTAAAATTTTGTAGATATTAGATCTTTATTTGCTTCAATACTGTGCCCACATTTCTGACAAAACAATAAACTTGGAAGTTTTTTTTCTTCTGTTTTAGATTGTGATGGAAAATATCTCCGATCTATGAAACTTCTATTAGGATTTTTTGCAACACCTCCGAACATCAACTTAACTAATGATGATAAATGTTTGCAAATTGATATACCAGGCGCTGATCTTACCGTCGGGAATAAAAAAGCAAACATGTTACATCTAGAAAACATAGTCAAAACTTATAATAGTAAATTTGATCATGCATTAGTTATGTCTGATTTAAATCCTTCTGATCGTCAAAATTACAGATCTTGTGAAAAGGTCAGTAGCGATGAAGTTTTAGCAATTTTAGAATCAAATGATGATACATATGCTACATTTCTTTATATTAAATTACTTCGTTACATAATTGATGCATTTATAAACAAAGCTACTTCGATTAGAGATCGTCTCTATTTCGCTTGGACAATAGTCTTCGTCTGTCGTCTATGGAAAGCATGGTTGAATTTAGAATTCAAATCATCAACTCAGAAAAGTAGAGACAATTACTTCATCACAAAGCCTGCCTATTATTCAGTAGAAATCAATGCACATATTCTTCTTTATTTAATATTATTAGTTCATGAAGGCAGCTTACCATCGGAATCATTACAAATTCCATTGTTTAGCAACCAATCACGTGAAAGTATTTTTAGAAGTTCCAGATCCTTAACTGGAACACAATCAACAATGGTGAATTTCACTGTGAAGGGTAAATTTTCTGAGAAGATACCATGAACACGATAAAATAATATAAAGCTCTCTGATTTTTGGAGTTTTAGTCGATGAAAACACTTACATCGTGAGAAAAAGGCTTCTCTCATTTCTGGTTGAATATTCAAAGTTCATTTTTAGGACTGTTTATTTGACAAAGATTAGAATCAGAAAAAAAGAACTTTCCTGGTTTAATTTCATTAAATTTTGAGGTGCTAATTTATAATTGACTAAATTTATCATTGTTTGTATGGAATGGAGTCAGATATGTCTTTTGAAGGTCAAGGACAATACTTCAGCGAATCCACTCATCAAGAAAGCTCTTACAAAGAATTCACTATAGAAAATACCGCGAGTATTCATTAGTGGTACTCTTACTGGAACTTGGGTACCACCTTAGTACGTCATTTCTGTATTTATCATGCGTTACTGGATGTTTCTTGAGTACGTGTATGTAGCTTTTGTGCACTCTAGTGATGTATGAAAAATATTTATGAGCCAATATTTCGTCCATCCTTATTGTATTACATTTATTTCATTCAAATATAAATTTAATTACAAAAAATGAAGACGTAAATAATAAATGTGTGAGAGAATAATAAATAATAGAACTAAAGCTATCATATTATCTTCACATGTGTTCGAAGCAAATAATAGAGGTACAGAAATTCTGATCGTTAAAGAAGGGTATGAAGTATTCCCCTGTAAAATAATATTCTATTTGTTAAATATGTCACAAATAGGATAAATTTTCGAAAATAAGAAAATTTACTTTTAATAAGATGTATAATAAACAAAGAATTGTAAAGCTGCATAATCATTGATTTCATATTATTAACAATCATTTGTATCCAGCAATTCCGTGACACTTTTGTATAATTTTGATAAGAAAATTTCTTTTTTTTCAATGATTTCATCTTTTCGTTAATATTAAAAAAATAAATGAAGCTTTATTTTTATGATCCAAAACAAAGAGAGCTAAAAATCTTCTCATCAAAGATAAAGACTTAATCTTCATCTTATGAAGTTAGAGTACAACAAATGAGAAGAAAAGTAAAAAATAAAAGTATTCTCAGCACTACAGATTTTAAAGTGCAAATAAATTTAGTATCAATTGTTAGATAAAAAACGCAAGTACAATTTTTTTTCATTTATCATTAATAGTAATCTCTAAGTAACTTATGAAGAAGAGCAACAAAGATAAAATTATCTATCTGCATTTCTATTCAGGTGTCTTTTAGTTAATAATCGGAACCGACTTGTAACATGTGTTGTGAGTTCATTTTGTGTCATGTTATGTTACGAATCTTTGTGAAAATTTATTTTAATGAAAAATTTTTTATATAAATTTAGAAAATTAAATTTGAATAGATCTCTATTAACACATAAACAGATATTAAAACCCACTTGATACTTAAAAGGTTTAAAATAAAAAGTTGTTTTACTTTTTTTCAATCAATTACTATTCGACTAAATTGTATAAATGATTTATCAGCAAATAATAAAGAACAAACTAAATAAGCTGTTAAAATAGTTTCTTTCAATTTTCTGTTATATCATATCTACTTTACTTGCTACATGACTTCAGTCTATTTGTGTAAATGAAAACGTATGTTTTTTTGAATATGCTACCAAGCAACGAGTGAAAGTAGTACAGTTGTGTGTTCACATCACTTTCTAGCACTAAATTTGTACAGGAAACCTCATATGAGTATTCGTCAAAGTGCATGAAAAGTATTCATGTATATAAAAAATGTTGGGTGACTTCAACTAGTAATTTGAGTACTGATATTAGGACATCATGCTCACTTAATGAGTATCCTCATCAGGATACTCTATATTTTTTGACAAATACGGCAAGGCGAACAACTTTCCTTTATAGTCCAAGTGTTATTTTCTTCAAATTTCTCTCCTTTAGATTTCTTGCATCGAGCAGAAAAATTAACAATATTACAAAATATCAAAGCTCTTCAAGGTCAAACTCAACACTATCAACTACAATTTCCTAAACATCACAAGCATCAAAAAGACAATGAAAAGATTGTAGTATTTAATCAGAGTCTTAATGTAACTGAAATTGAAACAATAGTCTTACAAGCTTTTGAACATGCAAAAGAAGTTGTATACAAATTGGATATAAATATATTATTAGAAGAATATAATCTATTGGCCATTAGAAGCATTAAGTGTTGAAACATACAACAGCTTGAAGAAGTCAAATCGAGTTACCGACTCAGCAACGTCAAAAACGTTCACAGATTCTGATTCAGATAATGGCGATAATGATGACTTTAATAGTAATGATGATGAAGATGAAAATCAGTATGGAATTTCAATGATAAATGATGACGATGATATGCCAGATAACATTCTGCAATCAAATAGAACCGATTTTTCTGGTATGCAAATATTTGATTCAATTGATCAAGCACATAAAAACTCATATTTTGAAGTTGAAATTAATAACAAAAAAAAATTTCTACATAAACAAACAGCATGTTGGTATTTGACCGAAGGAAAAGGTCATTTATCTAGTGACCGTCTGTCGCGTATGAAACAGACGAGCGGATAAAACTTTTAAAAGTATTTTTTTGTACATTTGTATTTTTGTGTAAATTTTGTTCATCTATGGTTCAGTCCAGTTCCCATACATTGTTTCATGTAGCTAAAGTTATACGATTCATGCAAAACAAATTTTTATAACACATATTTTTCAAAATAAGAGAAAAGATGTGAGCAATTGAAATTGTTGTGTTGGTCAGAATACGTCGTTATATATTATCTACGAATTTGATTGTCATATAATCACATTTTTTCTTGTATCAGCTATTGAATAGGTTCATTAACAATCAAAAAATAATATATTTCGTTTATTTCAACGCGCATAAGCATAGCATGTTGCTTAGTAAACCAAGATAAACCTTTTTTTTTAGATATTAGCTACTTTATCGAAACTTTTGAGTCATGAGTGAAATCATTGCCGTCAAGAACCGACTTTTATTCAAGAGAGTTTCATTATTCTCGAATAATAGGCGAGCTCATTCGATTTTTTAATTGCTTCTCAAATGCACCCTCTAATTTTCAAAAATTTGAATATGTCATGTTAGAAAACATCAATAAACATAACTAGAATTTTTAACGAATTTAAGTAGATTAACAAGTATTTTAACAAAAAATATGTTGCATTATCATCGTTGTGACCATTGATTTAGCGAAAAACAGTCGATTGACTTTTCTCGATCACTTGATTAGCTAACAACAGGATATAGTATATAAGTATAATACGACAAGTTTGTGCGCACTCGTGTGTAGTAAAATTTTTGATCTTAGCGTTTGAAGTAATTTCAAAATTTGCATGAACCACGATCTTCGAATTTATCTACGAATGCCCAACGACTCTATCACTGCCTACGCAAAGCTAAAAGAGCAGATTTCTAAAGATTTCCAAAGAATTCTATAGATTACTAGAGATTTCCAGAGATTTTAGGGGCTAAAATCTGCTTTTTCCCCTTTGCCAGACCCACACCCACAGCCGCACCCCACACCCACACCCCACACCCACACCCCACACCCCACATCCACACCCACCCACACCCCACACTCACAGCCACTCACACCCACACCCTGGTAGATATGAGTTTTTTTGATGATAAATTGGTTGAATATGTATGGGCGATCCTTTTTGATGGGATTATTAATTTTTTAAGATGCTGTAGGAAAATGTGTTTGGTTACTAAGGAAGGGTTTGGTGGTATTTTATGGACTACGATTGGTAAAATATGCTCGGACGCTGATTGGTCGGTGGGAGATTGATTCCAATTGTTGTTCGTGCTAGCTTCACATCGACGAAATTTTACCTCTATACTTCAACACTTCTTTTAGATTGTATTTTACAAAAAAATATTATCTATAATCAATTCATTTTCATTTCAAAAGTCTATCATGAAAACATCAAGAAAATTATGCTACGAAAATATGTATTGAATGATAAATAAACATATTTTAATTAGAGCCTTACAATCTCTATAGGAGTTTGAGCTGCAATTCTATTTTTATTCCATTCTGCCCATTCTTTTGATGATAAATCATCGGGTTCAGTTTCAGGTTCTTGTATCCATCCTTGTCGTTGTGCTATTTCAAATAGAATAAAGACAAATGCTAACATAGCATAAGCGACAGTAAATCGCCATCCATCATCAGTTGCTCGATAGAGAATTCCTACATTTGATGCATGTATTAGACCGAAAAAAGACAGAATACCAGCAAGTAACGACCAAATAGTAGCTCGAATAAATTTTCGATCAATCATATATATCATAATAACAGTAATAAAAATACATTGTAGAAGACTACCACCAGCAAAATTGCTAAGACCACGATAAGAAAACTCTGTTATGTGAGATGTAATATTTTCTGTAAAACTAACATTAGGTATTGTAAAACTAGAATAAGCAGATGAAACACCATTAATTATAGTCGTTCGTGACCATTCAGCTATAGTAGGCATGAGACCAAGAAGAAAAGCTGGATAATGACGTGGTGGTGTAATAGCAAGAGTTTCAGCACAAATAAAAAGACCAATAAAGATCTATAATATTTATTAAAAAGTATACCAATAATTTGATTATTGATTCTATTAATTCAGTCGAATGTTCATTAGAATTAGAATTAAATAAATTGAATGGAAAATTTTTATTATCATTAAAAGAGCATTTCTTTTCTTCTTTATTGTCCATCATATGAATTATGGAAAGTTTACTTTTATGGATCATAAATAATAATAGAAGAATATTCTTTATAGTCAAAGAACTGAATTGAATTCAAAATTCTTGAAAAAAATAAGAATTTTTAAATCCTCCACTCTTATTTTATAATTGTTTATTAGGTATGCACAAAATTCTGTCATTATGAATTAATTAATACAAGCAAATAGAAGCAAGCGAAACGAAAGGATTCCAGGCTTCACTATAACAGATCTACACACAGTATTAGAATAAATAATTCCAAAATCGAAGGTTTTGCAGATGTCCTTAAAAAACGTCAACAATGTTTAGAAATATTCGAGCCCAAACTAAACAAAACCTTAGGATATTTTGATGATTGCCCATATACTTCAAGAAACGCTTAAGCAATTATCCAAATACTCAATACTGTCTAAACTAATTCGGTAGTTTCCGAACCTGAACACCAAGGTCAGGGTTCAGATTTAGTGCATGCCTATTGTCTATGATATTGCCATAACGAATTTATCGATTAAACTTATGTATACAACAATAAAAGTATTACTCAGAAATTTTATAAAAAACAAATCTCTCAACATATCATGTATTGAATTTCTTCATTTACAATGTCTTATGTTACATCGTCATGTCCCTCTTTCTTTATAGAAATTTTTTAAGATATATTGAATATATGATATGACTCACAATAACTGGATTCACAGCAACAACAGCAATAATTCTAAGAAAAAGAGCAATAATACCAAAAAAACATAATAGAACATAAATGAGACAGTTGATTGCAGAATAAGCTTGTCTTGCACCCATTTTTTTAAATGCTGGATGACCAATGTATGCTAAGCGCAATAGCAAAAGAAAAAAAAAATAATACAACATATTTCGAATAAATGTATGACATATACAACATGACTTACTTGTCATACCAAGAAAAGAACCAAAAAAACTTGCAATTATAGTTCCAATTCCATCAGCAAACATTGATTCACGAGTTGGATAGAAATCTCCAGCTCTTTTTGCTGATTCAACGCATTGTATAGTACCAATTGCAATTGAAATAGCTGTAGGAATTGTTATCGATAAAAATGGACCAATTTTATTCATATGTGCAAATATAGCTTTAACTGTAAATGCTGGTGCATAAGGTTTGATTATGAGAGTTGCATTACGTACATCTTCACCTTTATTAAGTGATGTTGCCCAGCCAAGACCAGTTCCAACGACTAGAGCTATAACAGCTACAGGAAATGGGCCAACTTTAACTAAACGAAAGAAGAAAAAATAAAATAAATAATGAACCGTAGATTTTTTTTACAATACTTACTTGCACTAAAATAACCAATCATGACAATGGCAAATGGAACAAAAGATACAATGGGTGAAGCAGCTATGGATAAATATTGATTTAATGCTAAATAGGTAAATCCAAGTGCTGAAAGAGATGAAAGTAATGCAACACCAGGTGTATTACGTCGAATAAATTCCCCGAAGAGACAGAACAAAAGAATAATAGTACCAGTTATAAAATTACTTGCTAATGCTACATGCCAAGCAAGTTCTTGACATGAACGTTTATCAGAATTATTATTTTCTTGTATACAACCATAATAAATAGGAAATATAATACCAAAGACAAATGCAACTAATAATATTCAAAAAAAAGTATAAATACAAGAAACAAAATTTTATTACATGCTCCTGGTGTATTAATTCCATATGGCATTGCACATATATCATCTCGTTTTTCTTTGTAGGCTAATTTTCGAGCCATATAAACATAATAGAAGTTACCCCATAACATAGCTAATGACACTCTAAGAACAAGAAAAAAAGAAATCATTAGATCGTTTATATTTTATCAATTATTTTTACCCTGGTACAATTTTTCCATAAACAATATCACCATCAAGAACAGACAAAAGATTAAGAATAATTGTCAATAATGTCGCCATGTTGTCAATGAACAAGGCAACTAGACCGTCAATATCTCCCTTTCTAAATATAGGATATGTTGGATTTCTTCGAAAAGCATCTCGCCATAGACCAGGTTGAAATGTACATAATTCGCGTATTTCTTTCTTTAATATATGCCAATGTTGTTCGAAAAAAGAAAGAATTTTATTATGTTTAGTCGATACGACAACATTGTCTTCTGGTGGATTATGTATCGACACTTTATGTTCCATGGATGAAGGATTCGTAGATATAAACCTGTGTCAAAAATAACTACAGATTGAAGATAAATATATATTTTTTATAATAAGATGAAAAAAGTAGAATTAGGCTGCACTTCTTCATTTCTATTACTCTTTCATAGTCTCTTACAAATATAGAGGTTATATTGATAATACATTATTTCTATTTCAGACTATGCTGTTCGTGTGTCAATACAGAAAATGTACAACCCTATTAGACAGATCCAATGATGACATTCTCTTTCATAAAAAAAAATGCTAAGTTTTATTGTCCCCATAAGAAGTCATAAGGTATTAGTATGTCATAAAAAAACAATACTTCAACTGATTTTTTTCAATAAGAAACAATCAGAAAAAAAACAATGAGGAAATATTTCATTACTTTCTATACGAATTTATATATACATTCGAATTGCAAAGACTCCAAATTGTAATAATGATTGTTTTTATATGCTACTCTGACGATAGGTTTTTCTAATTGAAAATATTGTTTATATCATGTTCTCCTCAATTATTAATGTTTTTGATCAAATCGAGAATGCTAATTATAACCACTTATCATTAAAAAAAAATCGATATTTTCTATGCATTTGTCTTGGAAATTAATATTACAGGTAAGACAACTTTTACCTTGTCATCAA